CACAGGCTGGTGTGCTTCTTCCATGTGGGCTTTGTTGCTTCTGAGCTAGATGGCCACTTGTTTACCTTCAAGCCTTTAAGACCCCAGACACTATATTGTTTGATAACTGGGCACCAGCAGCTTTCTTCACCACGCAGGATGTATTTTCATTGTTACAAATTGAACATAATTAAAGCATAGTGATTAAGCACAAAAACAATATATACATAATTATATATTTGTTTCTAATGACAAAGAAATGAAATTTTATCTTGAAGCATGGTGGTGTAGCATGGGTAACAGCCTCCATGACGGGTACTTGTCGGTGGGCGTATCTGCATGTCGGTGGAGACAGATACAGGAGCGGTGTCTCGGTTCCTAAGACCATTGGAAATATGTATTTTCCGATGGTCTTAGGCAACCCCTGTGAAACGGTCATTCGAGCCCCCAAAGGGGTTGCCACCCCCAGGTTGAGAACTGCTGTCTTAAACCACATGAATACTACTTCTTACATCAGGTGGCAAATTCAAAGGAATTACATTTATTATTATGCTCTCCAATTTTCATACGCGAAGCATTATTTTCTTTGGATGACAGCGTCACACGTTCAACATTCAAAAGCAAGTTGAAGATGACAGCAGGTGGCTCACCACTGCTCCCCCTCTTTCCTTCCATCATCTTCCCGCGAGGCCACAGCGACACTCGTGCCCTGAGCATGGGTGGCACTGAGCGGAGGGGCAAATGCCAGCTTTGTGTCAGGTCCTGCTACAAAGCCACATGTGGTTTCTCGCTGTCCTGGCGAGCCACTGGCAACTGGTTACACGGGTGCATCTGAAAGCACTGGGACGATCGCTGGGCCCCTCACGGGAGGGCTCATCCGTCTGGAGGGATTGGCCCAGGGTCGATGTACAGCTCAAGAGGTCTAGAAATGTTACAGAAAAATCTGCCCCTGCCTCTGCGGGTCTGGTGCCACTGCACCATCACCAGCTGGCGTCACGGGCCTTGAGGAAGCACAATGGAAACAGGAAGGAAAGTCCTGGGATTCCTTTTCTGAGGCAATGCTACGTGGATACAGATAAAATCGCTCGACAGACTGGGTGGGGAGGGGATTACAATAAATGTTAGGAGAACAGACACCCAGCGTTCCTTCCGAATGTTAGGTACCTTTCCCGAGAAGGTATGATTGTAGGCGACGTCTCCCTTTTTATGGACACGTTTCTGAAGCACAAAACAAACACTGAGCCGTGGTCGTGGCGTGATCCCAACTCACAGATTCCAACTCATGTGGTATAAGATAACATTTTGTGGAAGTAGACCACCAGGCCTTTCTTCCAGGTCACTGTTGGGTGGGCTTGAACGGAAAACCTTTAGATGAGTACCTGGTCACAAACCGCTACCCAGGGACCTTTAAAAAACATAGCCCCCCCGAAAACAACAACCCGCACAACAATTTCAAGCCACAAAAGACAACTGCACGGCCAGTTGAGTAGATGCCGACTCTTCCCCACCCTACAGAACAGTGCTCCATCAGGGCTCTGAGATGGTAATCCTTCTGGAAGGAGATGGCTGCATCTTTGCCCCCAGAGTGGCTGGTAAAACCCCTGACTTTTCAGACAGCAGCCAAGTGCTTCACCACGGCACAACCAGGGCTCCTCTTTTAAAACACTGCTGTCGTTGTC